CAAGTCACTAAGAATTATTCTTACGGCACTGGTTTGAGTGGACACATCAGATCTTCCAGGAAATCTGTGAAAAATAGCGTGGGTGGCTTCTTGCTTACAGGGCAGCTGGCATGGGGGAGTGTGGCTTAGAGGACAGGTCTGTGGAAATCCAGCACTTCTGAGTAGCTCTCTTTCCAGGCTTCTGCAGCCAAGGTCTGCTAGGCCGCTGACTACCAGCAGTTGGGGAGAAGAACAGGAACCAGCATCAGGAACTTGCAACTCCTCTGTCCACCTGTAGCCACATCTGACTGTGCAGATATTTGTGAGGACTTGCTGCTGCTGCACGTTTACCTCCCAAATTCATGTTTGCTTCAACTCTATCAAAGAAACAGAGGAAGAAGTAAAGAGATTCCAGGAAACTCAATTCCCAGCAAAACCATACCTACACCAGAACGAATCAGCTCAGCTTTGGAACGCAGCCGCCTTCCAAGCACTGCTCTTATGGAGCACCATAAGACTGATAAGTCCTGTTTCATTTTTCTCCCAAAACCCAGTTTATGCTTTTTCTTTAGTCAAAAGGTTATTTAGACATGTTATTGTTAATTTGCTCATATGTGATACATTTTAGTATATACTTTGTTATAAACTTCTAATTTGCATTATATTATGATCAAAGAGCATGGGTCTCTAAATACCAGTCCTTCACCATTTTGGCAAGTTGCTGATACATAATTGTTTTTATGTGTGCTGGTAATTGAACCTATTGCATTGCACATGCTAGGCATGTGCTGTCCCAGTGAACCACACACCCAGCACAATGAAAGCTTGTTATAAATGCCCCGTGTTCACTGGAAAAGAATATCGTCTTCTCTAAAGGTTGGATCCAGAATTATGTCATTTTCTTGCTTTTAATTTGATCATTTTTGCTTGCTCTATCAATAGCTAGACGGGGGTGTTGGATCCTCCCATCCTTAGGAAATCCCTTTACTTTTTTTTTCTCTGTACATTTTTGTTTTATTCAGTTTGAGAGTTTTTAGGTTTGTATGTTTGAGATTAATATAATTTCCTGTTTGTTCATTTTATACTTCATGGTGAAATACAGTATAACTCCTGGGATAGGAATGAACATGGTTTTCTTTCAATTGTATATGCACATGAAAACGTGTTTCTCCATACACACACATGCATCCAATGGACAGCCTACCTAAATGCAGATTTTCATTGTCCCCAGTGAGGACTGCCTGTTCTGGTGCTCTGGTGAGATACTAAACCCCCGTAGCCATACTGTCTGCATTAGGGTACAGGAAGGAAGCTGACTCGGGTGCTCGGTTTCTTATATAGCAGGGCATGATGCTTCTGCTTTCAAGGGTGTCTTCAAAGCATTTCACTAAAATATTTTTAAGAGAGAAGCATTATTTGACATTAGACTGTTCTTTACCATCTAGTGGAAACTAGCACTTTTAACAGAAAAAAAAAGAAAAGAAAAAGGAAGGAAGAATGACAGAAAGAAAAGTATGCACGGAAAATCATGAAAATACAGATAAACTGTTGTTCTGTAGAACAGCCTATGACAGACAAAGGGGTTGTCACGTAATAAATAAAACTGATGGGTACTTAATAGGTCTAGCAATTAGAATCCATACAAAATTCCCAGAAATGCATCAAAAATGAAAGGATAAAGTGTTGAAAGGGAGTGATAGAGCCCATCGCCATTATAGTGGATGGTACCCAGCTGAAAGTCTCCTTTGTGGGAGGCATTTTAGTACGTTTCATTTGATATGCATTATTGGCAGCTGTTTTTTTCCCCCCCTTTTAAAGGCATTTCCTACGACTAAAGGCATTTAACTTAATACATTTATTTGGTTGGATTGTATGGTAACTTTTTTCCAACAAAGGGAGGGGGAGTTGATAAGAGTAAAAATATTTAATAAGTTGATGATGCTTTGGTGTTTTAGTTTTCTTATTAGTCTTCTTATTAGAAGGAACTTTCTTTTATTTATGAATTTGATAATTTTGTCTTGTTTGGAACAGTTCCTCTGTGGCTCCCTTGTCACCTGCTGGGGGCAGTGTGAGGAGGGTCTCCTGTGTAATTTCAGCATTCATGTCACTTGCTAGCCCTTAGGAACAGGCATGATGCTCACGGGGAGACCTGGGGGAAAAGGCACTTTGAAGCTTCTGCTTTCTGTAGTGAATGCTCACCTCTGTTTTCCTGGACACTGTATGAAAAGTTCCGTTTTGTAGAGAAGTCTATATTAAACCTCAGTCAGAGCTGACATTCAAAGGAAGACGCAGAGCAGGTTAATGGTTGTTCTCTTCCTGTTTTTCAATGGGCTCAGGTTTGGCCAATGGTCAGGTCCTCAGCCTCATGAGCAGGAGCTGATTGCCCCTCATCACTGACCCTTTGGCTCACCACCAGGCAGCTCTTACTGTGGAAGTTTCTGCTTGTTTTGCTGGCACATACAAAGTGCCTGATCATGCCTCCCACCCAGTGAGCAAGGGTGTACCCAGCACTCAGGATCCCATGATGGCTCAGGGGTCTGCCTCCGTAACCACATTCAAAATACTAGCTTGTGCCGAGTTGTAATTGTTATCCCTAAAAACCTTGAGTTTTTTTTAAAAAAGTATATAGCTTAAAGAAATTAAGATATTTTCTGGGAGCCCAAGGATTGTACAAGCCCAGTACGAAATCACTGGGACTTATGGGAGTCACTGAGAACAAGTTAATTCTAGTGGTAGAATTAACAATATACGATAAAAAAAAAAAACAGAAAAACTACAATATTTAAACTAAAAAAGGCATAGTGTTATGTGATGTCCAGCAAAGTGACATCAAACATTATCTGTCCACTGAATTAATAAAATAAATGAAAATTCCATTCTAGGAAAATAGCCTTCTACTTACTGAATGTTAATCGTTCATCCTTCTAAAATTAGTTGTTCAACTCAGTTAAGTTCATTCTGAGAGGTTTAAGATAGAGTCAGTTTCCATGGCTCCATGTGCAACACAGTCATAACCTCAAGTTGGATATCATCAGATGCTATGCTACCTGGTTGTTCCTGTGCGTATCGATTTGTGGTGTCTGTGAGCTGGGGAGCTTGCCTAGCCTGGGGGCTGCCTGTGCTCTTTTGCAAGGACTGTCACAGTGTCTGAGGTTCGAGCAGTACCCTTAAGACGTGATAGGGATGAGGTCAGTGTGGGGAGGAAGTGGGAGCATCTCCCCATCCTCTGATTTTCTCCCAGTTCTGGAAGCACACTCTTCTGGTCTATCAAAACCAAACCTGGCTCCTTTGAACTGCCGTCTGCTTCAGCAAGAGGGGCCAGGCCCCAGTAGCAGAGACCTTGCAAGGGGTCCTTGGATGCAGTGACTGTTCTGTGCCTCTGCTTTCTCGGGTTCGGAATGGTGCTAATACAAGGCCTGTCTCATAGGGTTATTGTAAGGATTAAAGAAATCAATATATGTGGGAGAGCTAAAAGGAAAACACCACTTAACTTCACCTCCTCATTACTGCGGCTGTTTTCCTGCACACCGTTTAACACACATAATTGTGAGAAAAGGAAATGAAGTCAGTTGAAGGGGTGTGGGCCTTGGTTCTGTCTCCTCTGTGACAGCTTAGAGTCTGTGTGAGTTTTTTTTTCTTTTAACTTTCATTTTATGTGTGTGAGTGTACTGCCCACATGTTTGTATGTGCACCCATGTTGTGCAGTGCCCCAAGAGGTTAGAAGAGGGAGTCCGATCCCCTGGAGCTGGAGTTACTAATGGTTGTCAGCCACCATGTGGGTGCTGGGAATCGAACCGGGTCCTCTGGAAGGGTAGCCTGTGCACTTACCTGCTGAAGTGTCTCTCCAGCCCCTTTGTGTGAGTTTTGGCTGCTCGGTTCTGCTCTGTGGTTAGTTGCTTGGGATTTAGATGAAGCCATCTCCAGTGTGGAGCTGCCAGTGGATGAAGGACCTGGGTGCCCCCTGGTCTCCTTGGGCTTCCTCTGGCTCCAGTATGAGAGCTGCTCTACAAATCTCAGGTTTTACTCTCCCTTTTCTATTCTTAAAAACTCAGTGGAAGTCTTTATGGTCTTGGCCATATGGAACTTTTGACTGAACCTGTAATGCAGGTTTAAGCAATTCTAGAATAACTCCGTGAGGATTAAAGACTTCAGACTGTGTTCCATTGCCTAGCAAGTGGTGCCCATAGCAAGGCTCCAGTTTAAGGTATGGCAGGCTTAGCTTTCAGGTGTTTATGGCATAGTGCTGGCATTGTATAGAACTGAGTGTGTGTGTGTGTGTGTGTGTGTGTGTGTGTGTGTGTATAAAGAGATAAAAACAAAGTATTAGTATTCAAGAATGAATTTAGAAAATTGCATCAGTAAGAGGCTAATCATAAATAAATGCTCGTTTTCTTTTTGCTTCTTGGCACCGGGGGTGGGGGAGGGGGTGACATAACAGTTATGGGGCTCTGTCCTAGGCTTTTTCCGCTCTCAGACATCTATATTTAGCACTTTCTGACCCTTTCCTATTAACCTGTGATCCCATTAAAACACTAATTGGCGTGCATTAAAATGAAATTCCTCATTTCAGAGATAGAAGTAGTTTAAATGTGTTTCTTTTTTTAAAAAATAAAACATTTTGAATCCATTTGGGTGACTTAACTTCCTGAGCCCATGGTATTTATGGTCCACTGAATGGGGCAGCGAAGTTGATTGATGGTCTTATCCTCTCCTGGCATTAATGGATTCCTGCATTCATTCACTTTTCTTGAAGTCTCTACTGTATGAAATCTGTTTCTCAGGGAAAATGTAACTGTGAGGGTTTGACTGTTTTGCCTAATTTAAGTAGCCAGTATTGCATGGTCTATTTAGAAAGCTATGGTTATTAGATAAAAAGCCTGAATTTTTAAAACTTTACACTGTCCTCCTTTGGAAATAACGTGGAGAGCCAACATACTTTGGCAATCTTTGCCCTTGGTGGTGCATCGGGGTAAACCATGTCACGCTGTCTCTCAACCGCTATTTTTTGTTTCTCTCCTCAGGAAGTGGAAGACCATGTGGCATTTTTAATAACAGTTCCCACTGCCCTGGCAATTTTTTTTGCCATATTCATCCTGGTCTGCATCGAGTCTGTGTTCAAGAAGCTGCTCCGTGTTTTCTCACTGGTGATCTGGATATGTCTGGTTGCCATGGGATACCTGTTCATGTGCTTCGGAGGCACCGTCTCTCCCTGGGACCAGGTGAGGTACCAGCATCTCGTTTTGGGCTTCACTTGTGTGCCTGGATCCACTTCTCACCAGTTCTATAAACTTCATTCTAGACTGCAAAGGAGAAGCCTATGACTAAGAAAGAATATTTTAAAAAAATGTTTACTTTTGAATTGACAGATAATTACATGTTCTTATGAGGTACAATGTGATTCTTTAATTTGTGTGTGTGTGTGTGTGTGTGTGTGTGTGTAACTTGCAACCTTTTTTGAGACAAGGTCTCACTATATAGCCACGTCTAGCCTACAACTCATTATATAGACCAAGCCAACCTCAAACTCAAAAAGATCCATCTGCCTCTGGTTCCTGAGTGCTGAGATTAAAGGCAATCACCACCACGCTTGACTCATTAGCAATTTTGAAGTATATAATCTGTTATTATTTAGTGTAGTTAGCATGCTGAGTAACAAATCACTAAGTCTTACTTCTTCTGTCCAGTTGAAAGTGAAATAAGTCAGGCATACAGTAAAAAAGATCTTTTGAAATAGCTACGGTAGGAGCCCTTGCTTGACGCAGTTTCCCTTTAAGTCACAGCATCTCGTGTGCTTTGTCTCTCTAAGACTGGTTGCCATGCATAAATTCTTCCTCAGGCACAGTTACTTCCTACTTAAAGACAGAATTCAGTGCTGCTGTTTTCCGTCTACATGATTGGATCATATGAATAAGATTGCTTCCTATTCCTGTGCAAACTAAAGTTCCTGCTGAGGCTCTCGGCTTAGCATCTGCCTACATCTGGGTGATGTCATATCTTGAAGAGAGTGTGGTCTAACCAGTGAGGTTTCTTGGTGCTGCTGCCTCACAAGTGGTTTCCCCCACATGTCTGTCTATATAGTGACTTGGTTCATGGTGTATCATCGAGGGAACAGGTCTGGGCCGAAGAGTCAGTTAGACAAGCTGCTTTTATAGAGCTTATATATAAAGCCATGTGGCTTGGTAATGGCCAAGAAGAAAGGGAAATTGAGCAGGGCAGAGGGCACTTGTAGGGCTGATAGTGACATCAAGGGCCAGAGTGTGGAAGAGGAAGAGGCTCTAGAAATGGAATGAAGAGAGGCTACTGGGGAGAGCAGAGGGGAAGGATGTTGCAAGGGGCAAGCAAGCCAGAAGTTCAGGAGGGGCATGGATGGAGTTCTCGCATGGGAGAGAATATACTGGGTGAGCTTTACTAAAGCACCCTGGCCGAGCCCCAAGGCGGGGTTCCTAGTCTGTGCCCGTGTGAACTCTGCCGGACTGTTGCTATCTTTGTAAGTTTCAGCTGCAAAAGTAAAGCTTGGCTGAGTGAATTCAAGTTCATCCCACTCTGAAATACACTGCCATGGTGGACAAAGGAAATTGTTCTCTCCCTTCCCTCCGTCACTTGCCTCTCAAGCCCTTTAGAGGCACCAGCCAGAAACTTCGCTTTCTTTAGTTCCTGCTTCTGTTGTACATTCCTGGGGCCTGGTGTACCTGGCCACCCCACAGCTGGCTCAGGTACCCCCATATTCAGGCTGGTCTGCAGGTCCTATCAAAGGAACAGCAGTCAAGAGCATTCTCCTGCTGTAGGGCATGAACCTGTGACTCCTTGCATCTGTGCCACCTGATGTTAATGATGAAGCCAGTGTCTCTTCAGTCCAGTGCCCCCTGCTGTTGAGGGACCCAGTGCTTCCTTACACCACTGCCCACGTATGTTGCTGGTATGGCTCTGTAGGAAACCTCTCCTTGAAGGCCATGGTCTGCTCCTCATTCACAAGTTTTTAGCTTTACTTTTCCATACAAATTACAGAATCCATTTGTCGTATTCAATGGAAACTTCAGTTGGAATCTGGATTTATATTTTCTTCAATTAATGAAAATTTGCTTTGCATAATATTTGTCATAGTCTGCTTTCAATTGCTATGACAAAACACTCTGACCAACACCAATTTGGAGACGAAAGTGTTCATTTGGCCTATAAGCACAGTCCATCATCAAAGGAAGCCAAGGCAGGAACCTGGAGCACAGGCCATGGAGGAACGCTGCTTACTGACTTGCTCCTCTGGCCCATGTTCATCCTGCTTTCTTATATACCACAGGCCCACCTGCCCAGGGGTGGCACCACCCACAGTGGACTGGGCCCTCCTACATCACTCAACAATCAAGAAGATGCCCCACAGGTGTGGCCAAAGGCCAGTCCAATGGAGACAATTCCACCATTGTGGTTCCCTCTATCCAGGTCTGTCAAGTTGACAACTAAAGTTATCCAGCACAATATTTAAAGCTTATGAAAGTAAGAAAAGGGTATTATATAAAAATATTATACAGAGACATTCTTTGTCTCTTCGTAAAGTCTAACAATATTTCATATCTTTCTAAGACTTTTCCTTTTTTAATGAAATTAGTAGTAAAAATTTTCCAGACTTATTCTTAGGTGCCTGAAATATTTTTAATAAATGGAATTTTAAAAATTATTTTTGCTAATTGTTAACGTTGATGACTGAGAATACTGCTTTTTGTGTGTGTGGCTCTATAACCAGCATTCAGAGTAGATTCCTAGTGCTGTTTCTTTGCTTAAAGGTTTTGGTTCATTTATATAGATACTATTGTTATCTATAATATATAGATATTATTGTTGGTAATTAGAATAGATTTTGTCACTTTAAAATCCTTAATTCACTCATTCTTTTTTTTTTCTTTTTTTTTTTTTGAGACATATTGTCTTTTTGAGACAGGGTCTCCCTGTAGCCACAGCTGGCCTGGATTCACTATGGAGACCAGGCTGTCCTTGAACTCACAGAGAGATCTGCCTACCTCTGCCTCCCAAGAGCTTGGGA